GGAGGTCCGTACATGATTTACCGACGGCCAATATTAATATAGGGCTTATAAATCGCTGTTCTAAGCGCTTATCCAGTACTACCCTTGTGAGATTAATAACTAGCTGAGAGATAAGTTCAGGGTTATTTACCTACCAAACAAAGTCAGAGCTGATTTTTATTTTAAAATCGTTTTACCTTTTTGCACATACGTTTTAGTCCTGTATTGTTCTTGCGGAAAAACACTTTTTGAGGAGCTTGAAAAGATTCACGTACGTGCTGCCAAGATTATCTTTGGTTTAGACAGGTTCACTTCCAGCGACAAGGGGATAGCTCATGCGAATTGGTTTCCGTTAAATAAGCTCTATGATCTAAATTTATTACTGTTAACCCATAAATGTTTTTACGAAACTGCCCCTGAAACTATCCAGAATTTTTTTAAAAGCACGACTGCAGTTATAATTTACGAAGAAAGATTACGTTTGAGACACATTTTGCCAAGACAGTGCTACTAAGCACGTCCAGCTGCAATAAGGCTCTAACATTATGGAACTCTATCCATGGAGAGTCACAGAAGGGAAATATCAAGTTTTGACTCAAAAGTCGGCTTTTTTAAGTAAAACGTTTTACGCTTTGAATTTTATTGTAACGAGTTCTGCTGAATGTTGAAATGATTTTGACAAGGAGGAGAAGAAGTTTTTTAAAGTAAATACTTTTAGGACCTTTTAGGCTTTGAATGTATATGAGGAAAACGAAAAAAAACAGCAAAAGGACGAAGGCTGAAGAAAACCCAAGGGAAAAAGCAACAAGCCAGAAAAAAGAAAGGAGAGGGAGAAAAAATAAAACGTACGAAGTTTTTTGATTTGATTTGATTTGATTTTTTTATTTTCAATTACAAAGTACTTACTTACAATACTTACTTACTTACAAACAATATATGGTACTTACGCTACTAACAAAACTATACTCTACTTACAAAACAATACTTATTTACAATGTGAGATACTTACGTTACTAACAATACTATACTCTACTTACAATAGAAAACTTGCAATACTTACTTACAATGAGATACTTACACTACTAACAGTGCTATACTCCACGCTTTACATATATACAAAAAAAAAAAACGCTACTTGCACTACTTACATTACGGATTACATACGCTACAAAAAAACAGAAATAAAGGGGGCGGGGAAGTATGGTAAATTTTAGTTAACTGTAGTTCTAACTCAAAGGAGAAAAAGAGATTAAAGATATTTTCTCTGCTGATTCACTGAAATTTAGTTTATATACTTTGAAAGTTGAGGCGAGGAAAATAGGAAGGGAATGTCTGGTAGGAAGGAAAGTGTAAAAAGAGCGAGTGACCCCAAACTGATAAAAAGGTTACTAAAGAGGGAAAGGTTCAATTTCTTTATTATATTGTTTTAAAAAAGGCTTAAAATTTTCAATAGTTGGAATATTTCCTTTGCTACTGCAAAGCCAAATGTAGAATCTCCCAAGTAACAGGCGGCTTTGTTTTTGGAAGTATCAGGCATCAGACCCAAGATGACAAGACTGTTAAGGAGATAGTCCTTGGATAAAAGTTTAGGATCCTTTAGAAAGGCAATAATATAAGGTGTTTCCAGAAAAGTTCTATTTTGCTGCAGAATCAGAAAAGAAGCGTGAAGTTTTCAGCTACTTCATGGCAAAACGAACACCTAATGTCATCTTTGTATCCCATTTTGACTAAAGATACGTTTGTTGCCAAAGTTTGATGAAGGAATCTAAATTGAAATTCAGTCAGTTTGGTGCTTTTGGTACATTTAAAAGCGGTCATATATGCGTTATGCCAGATTAAATCACGAGCTTCTGGGAAAACTTTGCTCCATTTCTCCTGACTAGAAATTTTATAGCTAGTCTGCTGGGCTTTTTCGATTTTAAGAACAAGAGTCTTTCACAACCGCCTTTTTAAAATCGAAAAAACGTAATATATAGATTTAGCCAGGGCTAAAAGCGAGGCTCCCATTAATATATTTACAATTTAAATCAAACAATAAACTTGTATTCCACAATTCAGTTAACTTTGAGCGCATAGCACATTCATGTGACTTTTGAGGGAATGGTTAAGTGATTTTAGAGAAAAATAATTTGCAAACAGCCCAAAAGTGAACAAAATCTTACATCAAGTTGATAGCCTCATATGTACACCCAAAAAATAGCAATCATCTTCGATCACATTTAGGAGCCATAATGGCTCTTGATCACCGTAAGATTAATTAGGCCTGGAAAAAAAATCAGGCCGAATTTTTTTGCGTTCGACAAGTTTACTTTACAAAATCTTGCCAACAAATCCGGGTGCGTGTAAACCAACCTTTTATACCATTTATACATCACATCTGAGGTGATACAGTACTATGAGGTACTATTTTTATCACACAGACCTCGGACAGAATGCAGTATTTCACAATTTTGCAACACAAATTGCACTCATTCAACATTCAGGACGATCGAAGCACGCGTGGGCTTTAAAAAAATTTCCAAAATCACATATACGGCCAGCCGGTTCTCACTTTTGCAGTGCAAGCTGTAGTGAGTGCTTGAACGAACATACTAGAGTTAAGCAACAACATAATAAAGAAATTATTATGTTTATTCAGTTTTATTAAATGGTTTTATCGATGTGTAATCTTTAAAAGCACCGGTTTGATTCGCGCGGCGTTTTGAGTACTCCTGCAAGCGATGTTCACTGAACGAGTGAAAACAAACGCAGTTTGCGCAGTTATTAGCTACAATATCCAAGCTTAAGTCTGTCATAGCCTAGGAATTTATCTCACACACTTGACTGTCCTTAACAATTCTTAACAGTAAGTCGTATCTTGAAGTTCGACTTTAATTCTCAACAATTCGGCATTAGCGAGTCGTATCCACTGAAGATGAACATGGCTATAATATATATAAATCTGGAATTTCAAGGAGCTCTGACACCTTTCCGTCCGGCCAATTATTGTTTGGGTGTGACTTTGATAAACCTAAGCTGAGTAGCCTTGAATAAGTAGATTTAAAGCTTCTGTTCCAGATTGCAAAAAGAATGGGATTAAGAGCTGAGTTAAGATAGCCACAAATAAGTAGAAAGTAAAAAGCTCTATCTTCTGGAATCCATGCCCAGCATGAGTTACACAGACTGATGAAAATAATACAGGTCGAATAGGGAAGCCAGCAAAAAAAGAAAACGGCAATAAACATGACGATACTTTTACCATCTTTCATGTTTTCTAAATAAGTCTTATTATCTTCCATGAAGGAAAGACTATCGCCAACTAACAAAGTTCTTTTCCGCTGATGTGCAATGAGATAAATCTTGAAACAATGAATACCACTGGTGATAATTAACGGAAGAATAAAGTTGAGGATCACCGGAATTAGAGCGTACGCTCGGGACTGAGGAAACCAGCAAACTTCTTTAAATATAAGAGATTCATCAGGGGCATCTCTCCAGACCATCGAGGGAATTGCAGCAAAGAGAACGTTATAAAGCCAAATAAAGATTATGGCAATGAGTGCTCGCTTACTTGTCAAGAAAGGAGAACGACGAAGGTGGTTCAGAGGATCACTGAGGTTCTTGAGGCACCCAATACTAATAGGAAGAAGGGTCCAAACAGAGGAGGGTACTGAAGTAACGAATATTATGGTAAAGATCTTGCACAGATGTTCCCCATGCAGCAGGACCCCGCTACAAAAAAACACTGCTATGTCCAGTGGAGCCACGACCGTCAGTGTAACCAAATCTGAGATCACCAATGAGAGAAGAAAAAGCCTCATGGGATTGTTTCGAAGATTTCTGTCCACCATTATCACGTAACAAACCATTAAATTACCAACAATCGCTACTGCAACGATGAGTGTACAACATGACAGGAGAAAAAACGTAAAATCTTCCAAGAAAAAGAAATACGAAGTTTTGTCGCCTGAGCTTTCCTCTGATGTTTTTCTCATTATTGGACCTAAACCTGTAGTTTCTGTTTTTCAAACACTGTTTGACTATATAATTACTTCAGGCCTGTCGCAACACAGTGATTTGTTCAAAGAAATGTAGCCATCCTACTGGAGGATCGAAACGTCATAGTCATAGTTGGGTGGATCTAGTTGTCGGTCTGTTGAAAGAAAATTCAGCGAATGAGGCGGCGATATTAATTTGATTACTAAATTGGCTTCGGTATGTTAAAAGCTTTAAAGCAATTCAATATAATGGCCGTGTACGTGCATATTACAATGAATAAAAAAATTCTAAATTCTTTCATTCTTGCAAGTTTACTACTAGTTAAGGTCAATAAATAGCCGTCTAAGTTACCTTAAACTGGGCATTTAATGTAACAGTGATCAAACAGAAAATGAGTGTGGCCTACATTTCAGATGATGGTTTGTGTTCTAAGAATGAATTCTCGTGTGACGTCAGTAAATGCATTAGCAGCCCAGAGGGATCTTTCTTCGTGCCAATACCGAAAGGTGATGTATGAACACTAGATAGAGTGTTTCATCAGACATTCAGATACCGAAAAGCACTATCTCAAAAACGAGACAAGTGTCTCATCCGATCTCCAGACTTTTCGAGTGTTCGGAGACCAACAATTGCTTTATTATTATTAATAATAATAATAACAATAATAATAATTATTATTATTATTATTATTATGTCGCAGTATGAAACTTTGGAATGCTGTCCACATTATGAGTAGTATAGGGCGCATAGCGTAACCTACACCACTTGAGAAGCAATACTTAGAAGTACAAAAGGTCGATACGAAACCTAATACAATCCTAAAATACATAGTGATATGAATCTCTCTACTTAAAAAGCCAATTTAGAATATTATTAAATTCTGATACTCTGTAAAACCTTCGCTATCTCTACTAAAAACATATTTATAATAATATCACACTCTAATGTTCTAAAAAATCTAAGTAAAAACGTCAGCAAGCTTGTGTTTCTAGATTTCTAGAGAAGAAACAAAAACCTAAAAACTGAAGTCCATAGCCCCCTAACTAAGTATTTATCTTAAATGTTCTGGCAATGTTTAAAGTGTTTGAGATGACCGACTTCTGCATCCGCTCAAGTACGCTCCGTGCTCTCGCTCCAAGTAGCTTCCTCACCGACTTCTCTAGGTGTTTAGAGTAACCCCCCAGTAAGTCAATTATTACGTTGTACTGTTCAACCCTGTAACCCTTGTATCTCTGCTTCAGCTCCCACATCATGGGCCCATACTTGAGTGTCTTTTCCTCATCTTTCTTAGCTCTACTCTCAATCCATGGGCAGCTCATTTCAATTGTGCAGACTTCTTTCCTCTCGTGGTTGACAAGTCGCGCGTCGATCAGATTTGCTCTAACTTCGTTGTGCTCTGCATAGATGGGAATATCCCAACACGCCTCACTCGTGGTGTTCTGGTAGGCTGGTTTTGGCATCACCGGTGAGTACCATGGTGGAACCTCTTCCATTAACCCATGCTCTAGCAGGAGCTCAAAAAACAGAATCTTCAAAGCTGCATTATGCCTGTATAGGTACTTGGTTTGTGCCAGGGAGGAACATCCAGCCAGTACATGTGCAACGCTCTCAGCTACCTTCCCACATAACCTGCATAGAACTTCGCCGTCGGTGGAGGTTTGCGTCTTCTCCTTTGTGTAGAGCTTCGTAGGTAACAACTGCTCATACAATTCATACATGCCCGCGATGGTATGTGTAGGGCATGTAGCCCAACCTTTTAACCATGCAAAGCAGCTGGTTATGCTTAGGCTCTCATCTTCCCATCTGATATGGAATAACTTTCCTTGCCACTTTTTGTCTTTAGCGATCTCCAAGAACAGGGGCACCCAACGAGAACATAGTTCAAAACCACTTAAACATAGAATTGTTAAACGTATTTTAGTATTTAAACGGTAGATATAGGCATATTTTTATCCCCTAAAATTTTTTTATCTGTTCGGATTTCCTTGCTGAAAGTCAAGTGATCCGAAAATTATAAGGATCAAAACTTACCTTTTCGAAAATTTCAGCCAGAAAAAAGGCTCCCGAAAATTCTAGGTGACCTTTTTAGGGTAAAAATCCGTTAAAAATAGGCAATTATACCATTTTTTAGATGTTCGAAAATCCTAGGAGAGGCAGGCAAGCAAGAAATTTTACAACAAATGTTTCGAAAATTCTAGATCTCAAATCGTCTTCCGAACAGATATTTTTCCGAAAATCGTCGTTGGGTGCCCCTGAAGAACTGCTTCTCTTGAGATTGCTTCAACAGATTCCCAGCTCTTGCTGCAGTTACCACCTTTCCTTCTGTTGTAACACACACGGGATTTAGGGTATCAAGCTGAAGTGTGATGTTGAGTTCTTCAGCGTACTTAGCTGCTTCCTTTACGAGCGACTGGTGGTCTGATGCCATGGCGTGTTCTTCAAATTCTCTAACTGCTTCCACAGTCTGGTTAAAATTATTATTATTATTATTATTATTATTACTATCCTCATTAAAGATAGCTTCTGGATGACTTGCTGGCGTCTTCCTTAAACATCCAGTCACCGCCGGTGACCTTAGGTGTCCAAGTCTGGCCGTACCCAGTAGGCACGCTTTCTGCAATGATTCCAAGCAACATTTGACACCAATCTCTGCTAACCACGTCTCTGTATCTTTCGAGACAGCTCCTAATACACCAATCATTATTATTATTATTATTATTATTATTATTATTATCTGAGTGAATAGTACTAATTGGAGGTGAACATTGCTATCACATGAATCTTTAATTTTGGATGTAATAGATAGCCTTGACAAAGTGTACAACCTGCTCAACCTGCAGTCATACTTTATCGTTTGGCTATGGGGCATGACTTGTTCTCTTCCGCTTAAGTGCAATGCCATAAATCTTGATATGAATACGGTTGGTGATAATAAACAGTAGAAAGAAGGTCAGGAAATTTGTAAGTAAAGTGTAAGCTTTGGTGTAAGGAAACCTACAAATTTAAACACCTTCAAAAATAAAGGATTCGCACCAGAGACATCTCTCCAGCCCATCGAGGGAATTGCAACAAAGAGAACGCTATAGAGCCAGATAAAAACGATCAAAATGGTAACGATAGATAGATAGATAGATAGATAGATAATCTTTATTTATCCACGGTACAAAATTCGTCAGCTTTAAAAATGCCTAATACTAATGTAATAAAAACATTTAAATAAAAAAGCTGCTTTCCACGAATGCCGTGCCTTACAGTTCTTTGAGTAATCGTTTAAATTGCCCAAGGGACTCTGCTTCCCTTAAGTTACAAGGAAGACTGTTCCAGAGAATGGCGCCACTATAGCTGAAGCTGTTTTTGTAATAGTTTGTGCGCGGTAATGGAACATTGAGTTTATTTTCAGAGTCCCTTAGGTTATATGCGACTTCTCGCCTTTCAAATTTAGAACTAAGATAGTTTGGAGCCTACCCGTGCAGAGACCTGTAAACCATCGTAGCTCTTTGAAATTGTTGCTGGCAAGCTAGGTTTTTCCACCCTAGAAGTTTGAAAAGGTGACCAGCATCTACGTCATAGCTTGAGTAGGTCAAAACACGGGCTGCTCTGTTTTGTAGCTTTTGAACCTTATTCTGTAAGGTTATCCCACAGTTTCCCCAAACAATGTTGCAATAATCAAAGTGTGGCTGTATTAAAGCTTGATATATTAGTTGTAAGGTCGCCTGAGGGACAAGGTGCCTTATTCGTTTTATGGCCCCAATACCAGAAGCGACTTTCTTTGTTACTTTCTCGATATGGCCACTCCAATCAAGTCTGTCATCGATGGTCACTCCAAGTGATTTTGCAGTAGTGACCTGGCTAACTTCAAAATCATTAATTGCAAATCTCGGGGACTCTGTGAGAGTACTTAGCCTCTGCCTAGATCCGATAAGCATAAATTCGGTTTTAGTCATATTTAGAGAGTGGAAGCAGGAGATTGCTCCGTAGATTTCTGTCCACCTCCGTCGGGGATCAAACCACTCAATTGCCAACAATCGCTGCTGTAACTATGATTAAGTAACATGACAAAGCAGGAATCGCAAACGCTGAAGAGAAAGAATAATACGAGGGTTCTTCGACTCTTAACTTGAATTCAGCTTGCTGTTTCTGTTCTTCAAACACTCCCGTCAGAGCCAGTCTCAACACACTGATTTGCAAAATTTGAATGCAGCACTTTGAGTATAAGACGTGAAAGTCATAGCTTTGCTAGATTGTTTGTTTGTTGCCGGAATAGTACTTCCACGGGATGAACGTGTGGGCAGTATTACTTTTACCTAGTAACACGAAGAAATTGGCTTCGGTATATAATGGCTCTACTGCAATATATTGATTATTCTGGTTTTTTCATGACGTCACCAACATTCAATATAAGGAATTATCGATTCTGATGAATGTTTGATTTCTCGGGAGACCAACAAGCGACAGTCCTGACACTTTACTACTGCTGTACGTACTGAGAAAAAAACATGAAGGAGGATTTTATCGATATCTTTGCACCTCCATTAGAGCTATTTATGCGTTGTCCGTAAGAAGTCTAACAACTGGTGTAAAATAACAATCCGAAAACCCAAGTTAAATGAGAAAGGAAACATTAGAAAAAAAACAAGCTTCACTATTTTCTCGTACTCCCGTTTCACCAATTTAAGTGTTTACCAGTCTTGTTTATGATCATATATAATCCTGATTTTTGTATTAGCCAATATATTTGTCCTTTAAATATGCTCTCTGACAACAGACGAACAAAATATCTCTAAATAAGAGGTTGTTTCTCTAGTTCAAAAGTTGCCTTAATTTAACAAGACTCTGTGTAAGTTCCGAGTGAAATCAAATCTAACAGTAATCAAATAAACACATCAGCGGCGAGACTCAAGCGACAACGACTCGTTTTACTCATTTATCGTTAGCTTATGCCTTTCTTGTGTTTTTGTGTGACACAGTCAGGATTATTAATATTGCTGTAGAGCTATTTATAAACTGAACCCAGTTTCCTTTTTGTTAATGATTATTATCACTTTAGCCACGTTCAAGTCCCGTGAAAGGAAATTTCTGGCGACAGACAAACAATATAGGAAGCTTGGCCATGACGTTTTTTACTCATAAAAGTGCTGCATTGGAAAATGAACAAATCACTGTGTTACGACAACAGCTCTGAAGGAAGTAAACAGTCGATCAGTGTTTGAAGAACAGAAACTACAAGCTGACTGTGAGTTTAAGTCAGATAATGAGAAACACATCTGAAGAAAGCTTAAGCGACGAAACTGCTTCATATTATTCGTTCTCGTCAGCTTTCGCGATTCCCGTGTTGTCATGTTACATAATAATTATTGCAGTAGCGATTGTTGGCAATTTATTGGTTTGTTGCGCGATAATGGTGGACAGAAATTTACGAAACAATCCCACGACACTTCTTCTACTCTCTTTGGCGTTCTCAGATTTGATCACAGTAACGGTTGTAGCTCCACTGGACTTAGAAATGTTTTTTGTACGCAGTGTCTGGGTTTATGGGGAACTTATGTGCGAGATCGTTACCATAATATTCCAGACTTCAGTGCCAACTTCTATTTGGATCCTCCTCTTCATAAGCATTGAGCGTCTCAAGAACCTCAGCGATCCTCTGAACCACTTTCGTCGTTCTCCTTTCATGACACGTAAACGAGCACTCATTGCCATAATATTTATTTGGCTTTATAGCGTTGTCTTCGCTGCAATTCCTTCGATGGGCTGGAGGGATGCTCCTGGTGAATCACTTATTTTTGAAGAGGTTTGCTGGTTTCCTTACAAGAACGCTTACACTGTACTCACAACGTTCCTTAACATATTTCTACCAATAATTATCACCATTGGTATTTATATAAAGATTTATCTAATTGCACGTCAGCGAACAAGACCCGAGTTAGTTGGCAGTAGACTTCCCTTCGTACAAGAGAATAAAACTTATTTAGGAAATATGAAAGCAGCTAAGACTATCGCCATGTTTATTGGCGTTTTCTTTTTTTGCTGGCTTCCCTATTCAACGTATATTATTCTCATGAGCCTGTGTCACACATGCTGGTCATTGTTTCCCGAAAGAGAAGATGAAGTTTACTGCTTTCTTCTGATGTGTGGCTATCTTAACTCGGCCCTCAATCCCTTTGTTTTTGCACTCCGAAACGGAAGCTTTAGGAACACCTATTCAAAGCTATTAAGCTCAGCTTTATCAAAGTCACCCTTAAACGCCAAGCGTGACCGCAGGTTGTCTTCTTTGTCAGAGCTCACCTTTGCGTCTGAAATTCCAGATTCATCTGATAGGGATGTTCAACTCCAACGGATACGACCCTCTGAAACTGAATTGCAAATCACTGAAATCATACTCCAGAATACAAGTGATTAG